TCTTTTTTACAAGTTTATGTTATTCTTTTTCCGTCATTATGTGTCCTCTACTGTTCAAGGCAGAGATCTGCAGAAGTGTAAGGATAGTGTGAGATGATAGAACATGACATTATAGTCCATATAGTGATATATTCCTTGATATTACCAATGGCACCCATCAAAGATGCCCCTTGTCACCTGTTGTATTTTCTTTAGTAATTGAACCATTTGCAGAACCCATATGATCATCCTCCAGTATTCTGGAATAAAGGTAGAGGGACGGTCTCACAAACGGACAGTTTGCAGATGATGTGATTATTACACTTATGAATGTAGATTCATCTCTGGGCAAGGTCAGTGAGGTGATAAGTGCCTTTGGGGACGTGTCCTATTATAAAGTCAATGTGTCCAAGTGTCATGCTCTTACTACTCAAATCAATATAAGTCTGTTATCCAAATTTAAACATACATTCCCACTTTGATACTATTCAATATCTGGGCATATCCTTAATGACCCCAATGGATTGTTTATACAAGGCTAATTATCTCAATCTATTAAGTTTCATAAAATCAGAACTTACACAATGGGGTAAATTTTAGCTATCTTGGCTAGGCCTTATTGCAGCATTTAAAACAGTGCCGATATCCCTCCCAATATCATTCTTTTCAAACATTAATGTTGCGCTCTGTCAATATATATGGAAAGGTCAAAAAACGAGAATTTAATTTTCAAATCTTATTAAATATAAAGGCAAGGGCGGTCTGGGCCGACCGGTGTTAAAGCATTACACAGAGCGGTGTTACTTAACCAATTAAAATCCTGTCCCAAAGAAGCCATGGGTATTGACAGAGCAGGCAATTGTTAGGGGCAAGGATCTCTCATACTTGTTTATGGCGGTGTCCACTATACAACCATTGAAGTATCCAAAGTATCCTTTTATATCTGTCACAGTAGGTGGAAAAAAATGAAAGTGGCTTTAATCCTCCTCTACTCTGTCCAAAAAAAAACAAGCTCTTTGGTCTTTAATATGGTGGAGAGTTTGGAATCTGATTGTTTGATTGCTCCTGTGGACAGGTGTCTTTTATACAGGTAACAAAATGAGATTAGCAGCACTCCCTTTAAGAGACTGCTACTAATCTCAGCTTGTTACCTGTATGAAAGACACCTGGTAGCCAGAAATCCTGCTGACTGATAGGGGATAAAATACTTATTTCCCTCTTGGACATGCAAATCAGTGCATAATTTGTTAGACATGCATTTCTTTTGAATTTTTTGTTGCTATTCTGTCTCTCAGTATTACAATACACCTACCATTCAATTTTTAGACTGATCATTTCTTTGTGAGTGGGCAACATTCAAAATCAGCAGGGGATCAAATACTTATTTCCTTCACTGTAGATCATAAGATGGATGATGTATTTTCTGCCCACAATGCCATAGTGGGTGTATGTAAAGAGTAGCAATCAGATTTACAAACAATTCATACAAAATTGGAGAGCCTTGAGGACAGGAACCACAGAAATAATATTAATGCCTGAATCCATCCTTACTTCTGATTGATTGAACTAGGCTACCCAAGTTGGATTATCTACCTGATTCTGTACCAAGGGACATGCTAGCCAGGATACACTATTACCACATCAAAAATCAAGCTATGCAAGCTGCTAGAAAAAAGCCTAAGCTACCTAGTCAATTCGCAGGGGTCACACTCTATACGGATCTCTGGGCAAGGTCAGTGAGGTGATAAGTGCCTTTGGGGACGTGTCCTATTATAAAGTCAATGTGTCCAAGTGTCATGCTCTTACTACTCAAATCAATATAAGTCTGTTATCCAAATTTAAACATACATTCCCACTTCAATACTATTCAATATCTGGGCATATCCTTAATGACCCCAATGGATTGTTTATACAAGGCTAATTATCTCAATCTATTAAGTTTCATAAAATCAGAACTTACACAATGGGGTAAATTTTAGCTATCTTGGCTAGGCCTTATTGCAGCATTTAAAACAGTGCCGATATCCCTCCCAATATCATTCTTTTCAAACATTAATGTTGCGCTCTGTCAATATATATGGAAAGGTCAAAAAACGAGAATTTAATTTTCAAATCTTATTAAACATAAAGGCAAGGGCGGTCTGGGCCGACCGGTGTTAAAGCATTACACAGAGCGGTTTTACTTAACCAATTAAAATCATGGTTAGCCCCTGTCCCAAAGAAGCCATGGGTATTGATAGAGCAGGCAATTGTTAGGGGCAAGGATCCCTCATACTTGCTTATGGCGGTGTCCACTATACAACCATTGAAGTATCCAAAGTATCCTTTTATATCTGTCAAAGTAGATGGAAAAAATGAAAGTGGCTTTAATCCTCCTCTACTCTGTCCAAAAAAAACCAATTTGGATTTAGATATACTTTAAAAATATGGCAGTAAGGAGCAAGGTAGTACTGAAAAGATCTAATATAACCAATTGAGTAACTAGATATAAAAGCAAATCCATTTAATGATGGCCCTGAAGCATGACTATCTCTCTGACCATAAACCATTACTATCTATTCTGTTAAATCTATTAGTTAAACTCCAGCAAGGCTATAAAGCATTTGCTGCAGTTACGGAAATATAAATTAACTGTGACAAATACCCTTGTAAAATTGATTGCTATTGCAGACAGAGTCATTACTACTGATACAAAAATCATGGATAATGGATAATAACACCTTGATGAGAAAATGGTTTAATCTGTTGCACTAGAGAACACTACTTAAACAGAATGGGCAATCAACACAAGGATCAAATAGATAGTTAGAAGCAATATTGCAAAAAAACATGCATATTGTATACTGCAGAATAGTGATGGACCGAACCCCTGTGTTCAGTCGCTGGGCGAACGTTCAAACCTAATGAACGTTTGACCGCAAGCTTCAAACTCAATGCAAGTCTATGGGGCATGAACTAGTACATGCAAAAGTGCCCATTTTGAAGGCTTATATGCAAGTTATTGTCCATAAATGGGGTATGGGGCTTCGGTTACTGCTCTGAGGGAAATGAATCAGTGAAAAAACAAATTTAAAAAAGTACAATTTTTAAAGGGGCAGTCATTTTTCATTGCTTAAAGTAAAAAAAAAAAAAGAAATAAATCCTTTAAATATCATGCCTGGGGTTTCCCCTTGAACTACCTGCAAATTTGCACATATGTACAATGTATAGAACCTGCTGCAGCAGGACTGACTTTTTTTATTAAAATTGCATTTTTATAAAAAAAAAAAAAACCCAATCCATAGCAGACCCTTTAGGTCTGGTAGGAAGGTTAGGAGGGACCCCACACTGCTAGCTCCGCCAAATTGTTTACATCTGACCGGCAACTGTCAGACCTGTCATATTGCGGCGAGTGCTCAGCGGGTGCAGACAGGTCAGTGGGGCGTTTTTTTTTGTTTTGGCAAGTCAGTGTCATCTGGACAATGCTGGACACCATGACTGATGATGGATTACATCATGGAACCATTTTTTTGGCTTTTTTTTTTTAATTAAAGGATGTCAAAAACTGTTGTTGTGTTGTTTTTCATTCAATTAAAGGAATTTTTCAAAAGTCTGGCATCTTTATTTTTCTAAATGTAACCCTTTAGTGAATGGGTAGGGGTACAAGTACCCCTTACTCATTCACAAAGGGAAAAAAGCAGCATCAGGGTGCCCCCTTATTTAACGGGGTACCCTGACGCTGATGCTAATGAGACCCCCTGCCCACAGACCACTGGGCCAGGGTTGTGGGGAAGAGGCCCTTGTCCCCATCGACATGGGGACACCATCATGGGCCTGGCATGGATTGGGGGAGGGGGAACCCACGCTGTTTCTTTTCTTTATGTATTTTTTGTTTAATTTTTGTTTGTTTCTTTAATTTTTTTTTTCAGGATGAGTATTCTCCCCTCTGTCTTTAGTAGTGTCCAGCAGCCTTATATAGTGTGGGCCGTGGACTTATCCATGAGCCATGATTGGCCAAAGTCACTGTGACTTTAGCCAATCATGGCTCTCACAGTGCATTGTGCTGTGATTGGCCAAAGCAATGCACCTGACCTGTCAATAATGGCTCTCACAATTCCCTTACCATTCGTGTGTTCAGCAAACACATGAATGGCCGATGTTTGAGTTGAACCTACGTTCGATTTGAGCATTGGACCCAACACTACTGCAGAAGAATGAAAGTTGCACAAACATGGACATTTCATAGCAATGTCTACATGACTCAGTCAGGGTAACATGTGCCTTCCATAGCATAATTTCTATAAGACTCTATAACTAGTGATGACCTGGGTTCCGCTTTGGGGTGAGTATATAATAATAAAAATTTTGGGTGCTGAATCTGAACCCCTTTCAAGTCAATAGTGGATAAAAGTTAAAAAACAGTAATAGGCAAGAGATTGTCAAACAAATGGCATGGGAGGCTGGATCCTGTCCTGGGGAACAGAGTACCAAAGGAAAAAAGTAAAACATATTTTAGTGGGGAGCAGTGATTTAAATAATGCCTAAAGAGCAAAATATGAAATGTCTATAAATAACATGCCTCTGGGAATTTTGTGTGAGGTCCCCCTAAAATAAATACCCTTATCCCTTTGAAGAGGAATCCCAAGAAGAAAAAAAAAACAAGAAATAAAACATGGGGTTCCCCAAAATCCAGACCAGATCCTAATATAAGCATGCAGCTTGCTGGCCAGAAAAAAAAGGGAAAAGAGCATGTTTCTCTCCCCTCAATCATGCTGCTAGGACCATATGTAGGATAAGCACCTTGTTTCTAAGCTGATGAAGACAAAGGAGTATTCAGCGCAACCCTAGCCCAGTGGTTGTGGGGGTCTGTGGGTGAGGGGACTTACCAGAACATGGACCAGAACACAGCAAATTGTAATTAATTAATTTAATTTTTTAGCAAAAAATTTAAAAAAAAAGGTTTTCTTTGCTTCTATTACAAATAGGTAATTTTTCTCCTTCACTGATGTGCGTTAATGAGGCTGCACTGATAGGCAACACTGATGGGCACTGATAGGCATCACTGATGGGCACTGATAGGCTGCACTGATGAGGCACCACTGGTGGGTATTGATGAGGAGGCACTCATGATGCTGCACTGATATGCAGCAATGATGAGCAGCACTGACTGGCAGCACTGACTAAAAGCACTGACTGGTGGCACTGACTGATGGCACTGATGTGCAGCATTGCTGGGCACTGATGAGCACAACTGCTGGACAACACAGCTGGGTGGCACTAATGGGGGGCACTGATGGGCACTGATGGGGGGCACTGCTTAGCCCTAATGTGTGGCACTGCTGGGAACTGATGAACAGTGCCCTGGTGATCAGTGTCAATTTGCTCTGTGACTATTGCCAGTTATCGGCAGCACTTTCCTCATGCTGTGACAGCATAAGGAAAGTGCAGCTGATAACTGACAACTATATTTACTCTGTGATCTGCTGTGTTATTGGACACAGCTGAGCACGTGGTAAAAGACCGCTGTGGGTGGCCTCATCATGTGATCAGCAGTATCCGTAGGACACAGCAATCACAGAGAGCGTCGGGTGTGTGCCGCTGAGGGCGCTCAGGAGGGCACATTCTGGGAGCATGTCATATGATGGCTTCCCAGAATTGGAAACCACACTGTATTCGTCATTCGGCTATAGCGCGGTGGTGAAGTGGTTAAAAGCACATGCTTGACATTGTGGTGAGGTACGGGTGGTATGTTTGGAAAGTAATGGCAGACAATAGTGACAAAGACATTGCACTGCTGAGCAGTCTAAGGTATAAATTTATACAAAAAGTTGAGAGATAGCAATAACAGAGCTTAGTGTTTCTGAGCAGTGAAATGTACAAGGGGTGTTCAAGTCAAACCAGGACTTTTAAGTTTATATAATAAACTTTAAAAAAGAACAAATAAAAAAAGAAACAAACAAATAGAAATAAAACAAAAAATACATTTAGAAAAAGAGACAGCATGCTCCCCCCCCCCCCCCCCTCCAATCCATGTCAGGCCCTTTAGGTCTGGTAGGGGTAATAACAAAAATGTAAATAATCACACACTCCGTCAAGTACATATAGTTTGCTGTGCTGTGAGAAGTTGATCGGGGCTGACCACAAAGAATTATGCTTTGCCTTACATACTGTAAGAGGCACCAAAAGGAAACTGGGTGACAGAAAGCAAGGTGTAAATTTGACTTTTTTTAAATACATAGGATGAGCATACAGTGGGGCAAAAAAGTATTTAATCAGCCACCAATTGTGCAAGTTCTCCCACTTAAAAAGATGAGAGAGGCCTGTAACTGGCATCATAGGTAGACCTCAACTATGAGAGACAAAATGTGAAAAAAATCCAGACAATCACATTGGCTGATTTGGAAATAATTTATTTGCAAATTATGGTGGAAAATAAGTATTTGGTCACCTACAAACTAGCATGATTTCTGGCTCTCACAGACCTGTACCTTCTTCTTTAAGAGGCTCCTCTGTCCTGCACTCATTACCTGTATCAATGGCACCTGTTTGAACTTGTTATCAGTATAAAAGACACCTGTCCACAACCTCAAACAGTCACACTCCAAACTCCACTATGGTGAAGACCAGGGGCGGACTGACAACTCATGGGGCCCCGGGCAATAGGGGACCATGGGGCCCCTGTGTCCTTGCCCAAACTCAAAAAAGCCTATGAAAAAGGTACCAGGGGCATCTCACGGGGCCCCCTACTGACCCCGGGCCCTCAGGCAGTGCCCGAGTTTCCAAATGGTCAGTCCGCCCCTGGTGAAGACCAAAGAGCTGTTGAAGGACACCAGAAACAAAATTGTAGACCTGCACCAGGCTGGGAAGACTGAATCTGCAATAGGCAAGCAGCTTGGTGTGAACAAATCAACTGTGGGAGCAATAATTAGAAAATGGAAGACATACAAGACCACTGATAATCTCCCTCGATCTGGGGCTCCACGCAAGATCTCACCCCGTGGGGTCAAAATGATCACAAGAACGGTGAGCAAAAATCCCAGGACCACACGGGGGGACCTATTGAATGACCTGCAGAGAGCTGGGACCAACGTAACACAAAGGCTACCATCAGTAACACACTACGCCACCAGGGACTCAGATCCTGCAGTGCCAGACGTGTCCCCCTGCTTAAGCCAGTACATGTCCGAGCCCGTCTGAAGTTTGCTAGAGAGCATTTGGATGATCCAGAAGAGGATTGGGAGAATGTCATATGGTCAGATGAAACCAAAATAGAACTGTTTGGTAGAAACACAACTCGTCGTGTTTGGAGGAGAGAGAATGCTGAGTTGCATCCAAAGAACACCATACCTACTGTGAAGCATGGGGGGTGGCAACATCATGCTTTGGGGCTGTTTCTCCGCAAAGGGACCAGGACGACTGATCCATGTACAGGACAGAATGAATGGGGCCATGTATCGTGAGATTTTGAGTGCAAACCTCCTTCCATCAGCAAGGGCATTGAAGATGAAACGTGGCTGGGTCTTCCAACATGACAATGATCCCAAACATACCGCCCGGTCAATGAAGGAGTGGCTTCGTAAGAAGCATTTCAAGGTCCTGGAGTGGCTTAGCCAGTCTCCAGATCTCAACCCCATAGAAAACCTTTGGAGGGAGTTGAAAGTCCGTGTTGCCCAGTGACAGCCCCAAAACATCACTGCTCTAGAGGAGATCTGCATGGAGGAATGGGCCAACATACCAGCAACAGTGTGTGCCAACCTTGTCAAGACTTACAGGAAACGTTTGACCTCTGTCATTGCCAACAAAGGATATATAACAAAGTATTGAGATGAACTTTTCATATTGACCAAATACTTATTTTCCACCATAATTTGCAAATAAATTCTTTCCAAATCAGCCAATGTGATTGTCTGGATTTTTTTTCTCATTTTTTCTCTCATAGTTGAGGTCTACCTATGATGCCAATTGCAGGCCTCTCTCATCTAAATAAGTGGGAGAACTTGCACAATTGGTGGCTGACTAAATACTATTTTACCCCACTGTATATCTAAACATAAGGTGTCAGGTCATGTGAAGTGTGTACATTTGTATTTTTATTTAAGCATTAAAAAACTGTAGGCATACATTTGAGATTGCTTTTTAAATCATTGAGATGTAATATATTGCAGGAGAGGGAGGCATGGAGGGTCTTCTGTAGGGCTGGAAAGGGACATACATTAAAAGAGTTGTTTGAGAAACCTCTGAATGAAACGGCTATTCACTTGCCCACAGACCACATAATACACATACAGTTTTGAGGCAACAAAACTCTATGAACGGGTTAAGCTTCAATGCTCTGGAACTAGTATGCAGATCTTTAGCTTTGGGTAGCTCATCTTTCCAGTCTTCCTGTAACATGGAGAAGCCGTTTTTATATTTTCATGAGTAAATTCTTTTTCTTGCAACAAGAAAACTGTTTTAATTAAAATGAGACCGAGGTTTCAGTCATATAATTTATGGTTTTGCTTGACTTAAACAAATTGATGTTGCTATTTCATCTTCCCTGTCAAGATGCCAAATTGTTATCACTAATCCTACAAATTGCAATTAATTAGCTTTATGAAGATGTTTTGCCCCAGTTAATTAAGTAGAGAGTATTGATGACTTTTGAAAAGTCAGTGTTAAATGAAAACAACATTTTATTCATCATGTATAATTTAATTCATAGCCAAATTTTATGCATTTTCATTGTTGCTATAAGAAAATAAAGTAATTACAATTAATATGTCATTAGTGTTGATGATCTTCCAGTATTTAAATATATCTTCTCAGATGATGTAATATCGTTTTGTAGAATCTACTGCTGGAGTAAATGTACTGCAAACTTGTTGAATTCAAACTGAGCATACAGGGAACCAGTAACAGCCATAGACTTTGACAGAAGGTAGGTTACAGTGACTGATTATGGTGTTGACACAAGTGGTGAAAGGATAAGACATGAAGACTTAGTGACAGGCTAAATCTTTCATGAAAGGAGCACTAATCACCATCTGGTAGTTGAAATCTGCTACAATCTGGGTGTAGTGTATAGTTTACTAACCTTTCCTTTCAGAAACCTTTAAAAATTCTCACATATTGCTATTACAGAAAGGTGATAAAAAATATATTTTTATCACCAGCTTAATATAACCTGATATACTGTATTTATCAGTGTGAAAACAAGTACAAGGCTACCCAGCAATCAATAAATTAAATAACTGTCACGTACACTGGAAATGTGCAGCTTCAGCCTCCTGAGGGTTAGGATAGGTCTTAGTACTTAACCATCCTTACTCCTAGCAAATGGACAAAAAAAAAGAAAACTTTTTTAATACTGTATTTTTAAAACTTTTATTTCTTTGTGATTTAGTCCAATGAGGGATACAGAAAGATAGGAATTCTCAGTTATACAGGACATCTCAGTTATACTGCCACCTGCGGGTGGTCTGGACACTTACAAACAAGAGTGTTAAACCAGCCCCATTTTACAAGGTGTCTTCAACAGCGGAATCTGATTCTGACCAGTGGACCTCCAAGTATTAGTTTCTGCCACTGCCATGTCCTGTGAGTTTCTGGATCTTATGATTACTCCAGTTTACAGACTGACCACGATACATTGTGGAATGATGTGAAGGTCTTTACCAAAGAGTCAGTTTCCCTGTTTTCCCACAGTTCCTTTTTAGCCAAATTCCTTCGCTTGGCCTCTTGGGTATAGCAGATCGTTTCCCATTTACTTCTCAATGTACATGAGGCACTAAAGTACCAAACCATCCTTACTCCTTTTGCAACTGAAAGTTTGACTGTCTCCATACATTCTACAGTTTTAGACCTGTATTTCATGTCCACCCTATTTTTTATTTTTCATTTATTACATGTTGCTGTTAGATACCTGCATCTCTTGTCCCATACCTGCAATAGTAGAGGTAATGCTCTTGAGGGCATCTCATTTTTCCACATAAGGGAATATCCTTTTTCTATTAGTCCTGTATTACCAGTAAGGTCTGCAGACAAGACTCTGTTTTACCCAACTACAGAATATCCCTCAGTAACATAGTGCACCTCTGGAAATCTTGGGGACCTAATCCTCTTCTTATCCCCTATCAATGTTATTTGTCCCTGGTACCAGCACATGGATTCTCCTCCTAGTTTTTTATGGAAAAAAATATTTGCCCATTACAATGCTCTGCTTCATGCTTCCTTTAATCATACATTTAATGAAGAGTCAGGCTGCTAAGTCTATGGATATCACATCCCAGACATACTTTTGGATGTGAGCTAAAAGTTCTCTCTTCTCCATTCTGGCCTTTATGTCTTTTTACCCAAATTACTATTTTATATGCATGCTCTGGTTCTCCTCGTCTTTTGAGAGATTGGGATTCTTTAATTCCAGTTGTGAATCTTTCTTTTTCCATATGTATTTGCATTGAAACAATTGTCAATCCCATTTTGTGCTCTTCTGAGATTTCTAACCTGTCAGATTCATTCTTTATTGTATGGACCATCTTCTCCATGAACCTAAGGGGTTTATTTACTAAAGCTGGAGAGTCCAAAATCAGACTCCCTTCTGCATAGAAACCAATCAGCTTCCAGGTTTCATTGTCAAAGCTTCATTGAACAAGCTGAGGTTAGAAGCTGATTGGTTTCTATGCAGAAGGGAGTCTGATTTTGGACTCTCCAGCTTTAGTAAATAAACCCCTAAGAGTCACGGGTGTTCTGTTTAAGCCTTTTGCTATACACCGATTACTTTTTTTTCATTTTTGTATACATTGTTTGTCCAACTATCTGTAACCTATTAAAATGTTACTACTTGAAATATATTAAGATGAACATTAGATAGCAGTGGCCTGCCATTCAGGGTCCCTCACATGGATAGAATAGTCATCTGGAACTGGTATGTTGAATAGCAGGACTCAGCTGGTGAGCAGGGCAGTCAGGGACTACATTTCCCAAGAAAGGTAGCGTGTGGGTCAGGGCATATACTGTAAATATCAAAGTGAATACTGGCAGTGTCAGGAATGGACTTGCCAGTAATGGTGGGACTCACCTGCCTTGTGGGCTGCAGTACCAGGGCTGGCCAGCGGGTGCTCTCAGCAATCAGAGACTCAACCCTGCAGTCAGCCAAACACCTGGAGCTGATTACGGAGGTGTATTTTTAGGGATGGCCAGACCTGCAGTCTGGGCCTTGGTGTGTGTTTTCCATGGGCCCCTGTATCTTGTTACCTGCGTTCCTGTTCCTGCCTGACTGACTCGTTGCCGACCCTGCCTGATCCTGACCTCTGCTGACTTCTCCTGTTTGATCCCTGGCTTGTGACCCCGACCATTCTCTGTCTGATCCCCTGTACCTACCTGCCTGTTAGTTGCTGTACCCGGCTCGTGACCTGACTACTCTCTGCCTGCTCCTCCTGTTCCTACCTGCCCGATTGTTATTGACCCGGCCTGCCTGACTACGCTTGCATTGTATGTATTGTTATCTGTGGGTGGTTTGGTTCGTTTGCACTGTGTTTATGTTTTAGTATTGCACTGCATTTTGTATTGTTAGTATCAATAAATTATACTGTTTATAACATATCTGAAGCCTGCGTTTCCCTGCGTCAGTTCACATACCTCTGGTCATACCCGGAGCCCTGACAGGCAGTTTGTCACCTCAGCTATCTACCTGCACATAGTTGTGAACATTACATATAGTTGCCCCAGTTTACAGCCTAGTTCTCCCAGCTGCCATTATTGGGATACATCTGCATTACAGTTTATCATACAAGCTGACCACAGGACATACAGTTGCAGA